TTTGTAAAAATGTGGTGGATACTTGCCATATTTAGCTAAACGCAGAAATAATCTACAAAGCTATAATATAATGAAGTATGAGAAGGAGCAGTATCAGTGATTACCTCAACTTAGTTGCTTGCCTTTCCGCAGTGCTTCCAGGTTAAGAAGCTCCAGTTAGAGAAGATCTTGAGTGATAGTTCGTCTATTATCAGAAGTACGGTTAATTTTAACAAAAAGTATGTTTTTTCTTCTGTCGACAAATACGGTAATTGATTGAGACCGTGACAATTCTGCATGATGAATGACGCATACTCAAGTCATAAGAACTTGTAATTTTCTCGTAGTTGCCTAATGTGAAAAAATGTACACTTAGTTTGACAAGCTTATCTTAGACTTTACTTTTTACTCTTTTACTCTTTATTCATTGCTTAACAGTAAGGAAAATAAACGAGTTACCCATCGATAATATGTAATATTTCCCACGCAAGAAAGTTGAATATTAAAAAAACAAATAGCGTTCTTGCGTGAATTGCACTCCACCAAAAACAGATAAAACACATTATAAGGGCTATTTCTGAGCAAACAACTGCAAATCTGGTAAAACCTTAAGATAAACAAGTAATTTTACAAAAATCAAGGACATGCAGAAGTCAACAGTAATCGGTATGTCGCATTTTATTTCTGACAAAATTACTCAAACTATTTTTTAATGACAAATTGAGTAGTTCAAAAGTATTCATGATGATGAATGATAATATTACTACTAAGAAAAAAATTAGGCGGTATAAAATAACCCTGCAAGTTGGTGGATTAAGGAATGTCGAAAATAGAACCTCAAAAATAAGGAAATAGATAAGAATTGTTTGCAAAGTGAAGAATAGTAAGTTATCTGCAAGCAATACCGAATTTCTTGGGCCTTTCGTTCACGCATTAAATATTCTCCTCCTCGCATATCCTACAAAACAACGAAAATGCAAATTTTAAGTCATTACCTTATTTTTACATTTTTATATCCATTTATGCTTATCCGAAAAAAGTAGTACTTGGTATGTCTTGTCATTTTCCTGAATAAATTAAATCAGCTCTTTACATCACTAACAACTGATATTGATACTGATATAATCTATCCAGCTGATTACATTTATAACAGAATGGTCTTTTGTAGTTTATAGGAGAAATAAAAATTAAGCACTTTAAATAAATGACTATCACAATTTGTGAAAATGTCCATATTATAACAAGAATAGTTATCAAAGCTGTCAGGCTAATCAGTTAATAATCTCTAAAAACGTTGCGCAGATAAAAACTATCAGTGTTTTTCTGAAGATTTGCAAGGTTGATTCTTACTAAGAGTCAACCCTGCATTTCTTCAAAACAAGAATCAATCCTTTTTACTATTCAAATCAAGCAAATCATTGAAACTGACGATAATTAGAGTTATTGCACAGAAAACAAATGCAAAATTTAGTGAGAGATATGCAAAATAAAAAACAATTTTTTGCTAAAAAACGTTGTCTGCTTTACATTTCGGATATTTTGAAGAAGTCACTCCTTATGAAGAAGTCGGAAAGAACGTGAGATTAGTAAATTGTTACTGCATTTAGAATTCAGTTTACGCTACGTTTCACGCTTCAAAATTACTGTATTCCAACTAAAGCTTCATTTTTCTTAATTTTTTATTTTCTAATAAATACTGAAAAGATGAAAATATTAAAAAAGATATCTGATGTAAAAAAAGTTAAAACTAGGAATCCGCATTAGAAAGGTTACTTTTTTTGGCTTCAGGAATTAAGGCATATTCAAAATTCAGCTTTTGTCTGGTTCTTGCCATTGCTTTAAGCTTCTTAGAAAGGCAACAAAAATAGCCGTTTGAAATTTGAAGAGTTAAGTTTAGAAGTTATCCGAAAAAACTAACTAGAAAAAACATTTAAAAATTTTCATTGAAAGTATTGTGAATTAAGAGGGACTCAGAAGTCGTTGACAGGAAGGTCGAAAAGTGAAAGGTAAATGATGAGGCACTTTTTCTACTTCATTCTTATTGCATATGTGAATGTGAATTTTTTTGACTAATCTCAAATTTGTTGCTAAAAGTCAACAAAAAAGGAATTAAATAATTAAATTATGAAGAAAAATTAATTAATTCGTTTGGAATAATTGAAACTTTTTAATAAATTTTCAAAAACAAACATTTTTTTGTCATAATTCTTTTGCCTAATTATATTCAAGCTCAGCTATTAATGGATGTTGAATGAGTACAGACAGCATTAGCTGTGCCTACTCAGACATTTTTCCACATAATGGTGGGTGAGCTGAAAGAATATGTATTTAAATTAGAAGTAAAAAAGAAGCAGTTGGATTAGTATGAATTATTTACTTTCTCTTGCCTATTAGATGAATGCATGTTAATTAGCTTCAGAATTATCTGTTTAACTTAAACGTTACATCAATTTTGGGAGCCCTTCAAAGATAGAAAAAGAGTCATCGGTGTCACAGCCCGCGCAACAACGTGGTGGTTTTCGGAAATTGTTAATGAAAATTAGTGAAAAAATCGGTACTGCAGAAAAAACCGAATATACTAAGCATTTTAGTGATTTGTGCAAGGAATTAGACGACTATCGTGTAAATATCTATGTTAATTATAATTTAATAAGTATTTGATTCAAATTATTTTTCTAGAATATTGAAAGTATACCGATAAAATTGACTACCTAATATTGTTGATCAAATATTTTAGGTGATTATTGAAGATATTGCGCAGCAAATGATTTCTATACTACAGCAAGATCCGCGCTATGTGCCAAAACCACCAGGAAAAATGGAAATAGCTGCTCCATTACATTCAGATCCTTTTGAATTACTGGAACCAGTGCTAAAAACAACTGAAGATCATATGGATTTCAAAGAAGTTTTTGATTCTACTTTTATATCAAAGTACAGTAATCAAGGCTTGATAATAATTGGCATGCACAATCATAGAATAAACTTTCAAGAGGTTTCAAGTCCCAAAAAATAAAATTGCAACGCTTATGAAGACGTTTATATGCCCTTAGCCTGGTAATATTAAAACAAAAACAATGAATTACAATTCAAGAAAAATTCGTGTAAACGAAAGAATGGACTGTAAATATTAAAACTGTATATATTGATTTAAGATATTTGATATCTGATGTTAAAAAAAGTTGAAACTAGAAATTTGCATTACAAAGTTTACTTACTGTTCTTACTTCAGGAACTAAGGCAGATTCAAAATTCATCTCTAAGACTTGCATTATTGCATCGTGAATTCCAACAAAAATGTAGACGTGCAATACATTGTATTCGCACATTTATTAATGTTGACTACGAGAATATTCGAGATGAAAGAAACAGTAAATTGCAATATTTTTAGTAGTGAGGGAATTTTAGCATGTCTTGTACAGATATCAATCCTTGACTATAGCATTTTTTTTTCCAGTAAGTTAATTTTATAAGTTATACTTCAACTTTAAGCACTCGAGAAGTTTCGTCAAGAACTCGATTATGCAAAATATGAATTAAAAGGTGCCAAAACACCTGAAACCATTCAAGTAAATAATGCTCTCTACGTCAATGCGCTTAAAAATTTCGAAAAACAATTGCACGATGTGAGATAAAACTTTAATAAATTGTCATTTTAGCCTATTTTAATTGGTATTTGGTAACAAATTCTTTTTACCTAACACGAATTTTAAAAAAAAATCAAATTGAAAACAGAAAATGATTTATTTGTTTGCAATGAAAAAAATTAATTAATTAATTAATCGTACGATTAGTATAAATACCGTAGGAAGTACACTTATAGACAGAGGATTTGCTGAAAAAATTGCCTGAAGCTCGAGAAAAGCACCGTATAGAAATACTTAAATTTTTTCAGGTAATCTTATCATTGATATTTTTGATAACTACACGTAATGCTCAATTGTATACCTCAAACTTAATAATTGCATATCTCAAACAACAAAAAAGCTTGCTTCTTTCTTTACTATTGCAGGTAATGAAGAAGTACCATCAGGATTGTGCTGAGGCATCTGTTTTGAACTAATGAAGTTAATGCGCGCGCTTTTTTAAATCTTATCACGTAGTATATGCGTGGTTTTTTATGTGGAATAATTAGCAATAATTAATGCTTTAAGAATGCATACAAAGTTAATTGGAGTATATGAATAATATTCATACACTCCAATTGTATGAATATTATTCATATACTCCAATTAACTTTGTATGCATTCTTAAACTTTGTATCCAATTAACTACTTCATTTTTGACTTATTGTGCATTTTATTTAATGCGAAAATAATCTCTTAAACATCGTTGTGCTGTTAATACAGTACTGTGTCTCTTTGAAGTTCTGAAATAAATAAACGAAAAATACTGAATGGAAAATTAATTCTGTAATTATTTTACTGCAAAGTATTACAAGCAATCATTGCTAGTTCCTTCCATTTTTGTATGCTTTCTTATCTTCATAATCTTTAGACCTTACTTGAACTTTCAACTCTCATAATTTACTTGTATAATAAGTACTGCAAATACTTATGGACACAAAATTTTTACATGACATTCGGTGACATTGTATGACGGCAACTTCGTCCTAATTCTTCTCACGCAAGTCCACGTACTTGTCTTTGAGAGTAATGCAGTCATCAGAAGCTTATTTCAATAACATTTGCTTTCATAGTTACTCATTTCGGCACTGTAATATTGAAATACTCCACTTCCAAAGCTTTGTGACCAAAACTGATTCTGACATTCGAGGTCAGTCCATTACCATGACCTCACTGTATGACTTG